CTTGTGGATGAGGAAAGTGAGGGAGAAATTGAAGAGGATGTTGGGGAATACAAATCAGATAATGGAGAAGAAACTGACTCCTCTTTTAATGACGAATAGTCCTTCACAAGTTTAACGAGGGGAAATAGGCTCGGATTTCAGTGTCTTTTAGTTTTACTTTTAGTATTAAAGCCATGAATTCTAAATTTAGACTTCTGTTTTTGTGAATCATGACTTTATTTTGGTGAATCCTAGCTTTTTTGATGCATTTGGTTCAATATGATGTTACATACATCATATTTGGTATTTATAGAATAGTATATGTGACTTTATATAAGTAATGCGCTTCACCCGAGTCAGGCGAGCGCTTTTTTGCGCTTTGCGCCTCAAGCGCTGGAAGACTCCTAGCGCTTCAGGTGCGCTTTACGCCTTTGACAACCTTGAATGAGACAAGTTTAACAATATTTTTTTCATAAAATAATATTATTACATTAATAAATAAAATGTACTCAAAGTAGAACATGTGAATAGTGTAAAAGTCAAAGTGTTGCATTTATTTAAGAACGGAGGTAGTATTAAAATTTTGGCGCCCACTGAACTAGAATGCCAGATCCTCCCTTACAATTAGAAGAAACATATTTTGCTCGTTTCACGTGTGCCTTTGATTATTTTATTTCTCCATATTTTTTTATTATCATACCTTTATGTCATTTGAAGCCATGTCTTGTTGGGTTTCAATTAAGTTAGTTTAATTTGGTGCATTAAATATATTATGTTGCTTGCTTTTATTCTTTTGATGGTTTGTTAAGAAATAGGTGTGGAAAGCATTGAGCATGGCTAGGAGCAGTAAATTTAGATTTTGGTGTGCCTGTGCCAGCATTTGGTGTTTTGAAGTCCTGAAAATTAGGTTGAAGAATGCAGAAGTTAAAATATAAAATAGATTAGCACAAAATGTGAAACATGAGAGATAACCGATTAAAATGGAAAATAAAAATCAATGGATATACCGTTGCCCAGAATAATCAACAATAGAAACCGTTGCCCAGAGCCAAGAGGCTAAACTCCAATTTTATTCATAGATAAGCAAAAATGAATCCTAACAAGGGGTTTAAATACCCATTTGCTAATTCTCAAACTAGGAAACAAAATCATAGAAATCATAATCAACTCCTAACAGGAAATAGAATAATAGAGATCCTAATTAACTCCAAATAGGAAACAAATAATAGAAATCCTAATTAACTCCAAATAGGAAACAAACCGAGAAAATAATAAAGAAATAAAAATTAATTAAACGGCCCGCAACCAGCCCACGAAGGGGGGCTCAAGCCCGTCCCGGCCTTCAGTAAACCCACAGGGGCTTCTGCCCCTCTTCCTCCAAGCCCATATTTTTCTTTATGCCTTTATATCAAGTTATCAACAACACAAGAACTGAGAGTAATTATGCTCATATTGGGTGAATGATAGAAATTGCAGAAGTTAAATTACTCTTTTTGCTACCTACAAGCTATTTTAGTGTGATGGTTCTTAGAATTTACAAATTTTATCACTTGCAATGGAGCCAAAGATTCACGTTTTTGTCTTGAGAACATGATGGAATAAAGCAAATGGCTCACTAAACTCTCTGTGCTTCTTTGTTCTAAAACAGCAGCCAGTCCATGCAATTTTCTACGCGATTTTTCACCTTGGGTCATCCGGAAACCATCCATGATGGTTCTTAGAATCTACAGAGTATGCTTGTAGGAAAGTCATGGAGAAGTTTGAATATATTTTTCTATATATCATGGCTTGCCCTTTTGTTTTTTCCTATGGTGTGAGTGGTAAATTCCCAAAATCTTTTTGGGACTAAGGCTTGATTGTTGTTGTTGTGTGAGTGGTAAATTGCAGAAGTTAAATTACTCTTTTTGCTACCTACAAGCTATTTTAGTGTGATGGTTCTTAGAATCTACAAATTTTATCACTTGCAATGGAGCCAAAGATTCACTTTTTTGTCTTGAGAACATGGTGGAATAAAGCAAATGGCTCACTAAACTCTCTGTGCTTCTTTGTTCTAAAATAGCAGCCAGTCCATGCAATTTTCGACGCGATTTTTCACCTTGGGTCATCCGGAAACCGTCCATGATGGTTCTTAGAATCTACAGAGTATGCTTGTAGGAAAGTCATGGAGAAGTTTGAATATATTTTTCTATATATCATGGCTTGCCCTTTTGTTTTTTCCTATGGTGTGAGTGGTAAATCCCCAAAATCTTTTGGGACTAAGGCTTGATTGTTGTTGTTGTGTGAGTGGTAAATGTCCATCAAAACACTCATTTACTATTTTGGTTTTGGGTTAGAATCATCACATGTAACATCTGATATGGACATGCTACTGTGTCATTACAACAACATCCAAGCCTTATTCTCAAAAGATTTTGGGGGTCAGTTTACTACTGTGTCCTTAAATGTATAAAATAATCTGAAGATGAATTTTTTGTATATGTGTCATTGGACGGGTTGTACTTTCTAATTTTTTTTTTCATTTTCTTTGTGTCATAGGTGCTGACATCTTGGACTGGTTTAGGTGCTGTCCATGGGAAAAACAAAAATAAAAATGAATCACTGCTTTCATTAAGCCACCAGGAGCCTTGGCTAGTATAGTTGGGAAGTAATGATCGTAACAGAAAAGGGTTTTGTTGAAATTGTGAATGTACAGACATAGCCATTTAATCAAGCTTGGACTTAACACTAATGCTCTATGGGCCACGAGACTCATTAATGGCTATTTGTCCTCAGGGTTTGCCAACTCCTTGAGTCACGCACACCAACTGTTTGATGAAGTACCTTTTAAAGACCCACCATTATGGACTTCTCTCATAGCTGCTTATGCTCGTCACAATCAACCTGACAGTGCTCTCCATCTCTTCTCCCTCATGCTTCATCAAACCAAACCAGATTTAGATGCCCGACCCAACCACTTTGTCATCACTGCTGCTGCCCGTGCCATTGCATCTGCTCCACAACACCTCTCATTTGGGCAATGTCTTCATGCTTGTATTGTCAAATCCGGAAATTTGCTTGGAAAAGTTGTTGTTGAAACTGCTTTTCTTAATATGTATTCTAAGTGTGGGGTTGTACACTCTGCATGGAAGTTGTTTGAGGAGATGCCTTACAGAAACCTGGTGACATGGAATGCTATGTTGTCTGCGCACATGCAAAATTCGATGGAGACTCTTGCGTCAAAGTTGTTTTATCAGATGAAGTGTGGGGAATGCTATGCACCAGATGAGTACAGTATTTCAATTGTGCTGTCTTGTAGTGCACACAACCAAGATCTTGTTTTAGGTATGCAGGTTCATGGATACGCTGTTGTTGGAGGATTTGAAAAAAATTGTTCTAATTCCATTGCCAATATGTATTTTTCATGTGGTAGAATTCTTTGTGCCAGTAAACTTGTGGATTTTTTCCATAAGGACACTATTTCAAAGCTTTTAAGCATAAGGGGTTATGTATTAAACTGCAGCTATATTGCTGCATTTAGATACATATGCTCTCTGGACAACGTAGTTGAAATTCTGAACACTGATTATACAATTTTTGTGCCTCTATTAACTACGTGTACAAAGTTATCGCTAATCAAAGTTGGGAAGCAAGTCCACGGCCTCTTTATTGTGCTTGTAAATTCATATAAGATTCTCAAGTCATTAGAAGAGAATGGGACGCTAATTGGTTGCACGTTAATTGACATGTATTTCAAGTGTGGTGATGTTGCGGACGGCAAGAAAGTTTTTGAAACATGGCCGTGGGAACAACATATTTCACTCTGGAATACATTAATCTCTGGTTACATACACAATGGCCTTGTTGAAGCTGCTAGTGTGCTGTTTGAGGTTATGCCTGAGAAAGATGTTGTTTCATGGACTAGCATGATCACAGGGTTTGTGCAGAATGACATGCCCCAAGAAGGACTGAACTTGCTGGCTAAAATGTATTGCTCTGCAGAAGGATATGGAGTTGATGGGAACAGCTTGACTTTTGTAGTAAGCATGGAAGCATGCACCCGTTTGACAGATTTGGAAAAGGGGAAGCAGATCCATGCAAAAATCATCCGAAGGTTACTCAATTCCGATGCTAGAAGTAATTTGGTGGTTGGAACAGCTTTAGTAGAAATGTATTCACGGTCGGGTAATTTGCACTATGCTCTTAGAGTTTTTGACTCGATGGAACTCAAAAACATAGTCGCATGGACGTCTATACTCACAGGATTTGCAGCTCATGGATATGGTTTCCAAGCCCTTGATATCTTCCAGAAAATGCTCGATAATGGCATCAAACCTAACGCTGTGACATTTGTCGCGATATTAACTGCTTGCAGTCATTGTGGTATGGTGGATGAGGGACTGCAACACTTCAAGGAGATGAAGAAGTATGGATTGACTCCAGAGGAAGATCATTATACATGCTTAATTGATATGTTGGGGAGAAATGGAAGGCTTGAAGAGGCATGGCTTTTGGTGAAAGGAATTGAGCTGCAGGACAACAGGCCTTTTCCTGATGCCATTTGGGCTGCATTACTTGGGGCTTGTCAATTGTACGGGAACGTAGGAATTGGAAGAGAAGTAGCACAGAAGTTATTGGAAAATGATGAAAAGCATATTTCAAGGACTTGTATTGCATTATCAAATGTCTATGCAACAGCAGGAATGTGGAAGGAAGCGTATGGAACAAGAGAGTTATGGGGCAAAGAAGGAGACGACTATAGAGAGATCGGAATTAGCCGCCTCAGCATTCCTCCTTCACCAGGCTTATAGCTAACTCAAACAACTTTCTAAAAGCGTGATCAACTGATTGTTCAACATGCACCAAGTGATTGGGTTTCTGAAGTGTTTATAAATTTTACATCCCGGGCTGGAAGCCTCCAAACTATTCAATCTCGACTGCATGTGCAATGGGTAACTTTTGCATTGTTAATGCTGCGAACCACATCATCAAAGGTGACGCTGTAAGTAAACATAGGACACAAGCTCTATCAGCTGGGGACCCGCTCCGTGAGGAGTTGAAGGAAAATAACATTGAGCTTGAGAAGGTCCGAATCTGCTACTCCCCATTCTCAAGGACCAGACACACTGCACAGCATGTTGCCTCTCGTCTTGGAATTCCTTTTTTTGAGGAAGGACCTCCAGCACCTCAGTGCATTGTTATAAATGATCTCCGTGAGCGCTTCTTTGGTCCCACTTTTGAGCTTCAGTCACATGATAAGTACCAAGAGATTTGGGCACTAGACGAGGAGGACCCCTTCATGCGGCCTGATGCGCATGGAGAAAGTGTTGCAGATGTTGTTTCCAGGCTTACAAATGCAATCACCACCATCGAGTCAAGTTTTCAAGGGTGTGCAGTGTTGATTGTGAGCCATGGGGATCCCCTTCAAATTCTGCAGACAGTTCTTGGGGCGGTCCTTCAAGGAGAGAATCCTGCTACGGATGACTGCAATCAAAATTTGGCTTCAAGGATAGCAGCCGTAACAGTCTCATCTGTTCTCTCCCAGCACAGGAAGTTTTTTTCTTGGCACTGGAGAATTGCGTGCACTTCCATAAGTTATTTACCCTTTCATTACAATAATGTATTGTCTATTTAAATTTAAACCACGTTAAAATGGTCAGAACCCAATATGCTCACTTACCACACAAAATGTATAGGTTGGAGTTCTTGCATAAAAAAACATAGGACATAAGCATTTACTGGTATTACCTATTGCTTTTTGAACCAGTGAATATTGAATATTATAATCTCTTAATGCTCTAGGAATTGCAGGGTGTGATGCTTTGTGGTGGATCTGATCCAGTAATTACACCTACCGGTAACTATACCATATTTTAAAACAAGAAGTGCCTCTCAAGTTTTTACTTCTAAAGCACTTCTTAGTGATTTTGACTTCTTAGTAATAACGCTTTTATCCTTCTGGAAGCACTTATGAACCATAGCAGAAGCCCATACAGAGAGAGTCTAAGTTGTTTTTCTACTATCTAAGTGGCTTTTCAGGTATCTTATGATATAAGTGCATTGTTGGAAAGTGCTTTCTCATCTAAGAAATTGAAGTGATTTTCTGTAAAAGAATCAAAATGCTGCTTTCTTAGTTAGATAAGCATTATAAGTGCTTCTTTAATGATAGATCATCTTTTCCTTTTCCAGATGCTTAGCTTTGAACTAAAAGTACATCTATTCATGTAAAAGCACCTACCTTTGAAAATAAGCCATCCCAAATGCACTCTAGCTTTTAGCACTTGGGATGTTTTTAATTGGACTGGTTTCAGTCCCAGAACAGACTAGACCAGACCGGCATTTGACAGTTGTGAAATACACATTGAACATACATCGACCAGACTAGACCACTTCAGACTAGACCACACTTAAACAGACCAGATCAGACCAGACTAGAACAAAAAGTTATAGTCCAATTAAAAACATCTTTATTCCGCATTTTAGCTCTTCTGGAATGAAGTTGAGTCATGAAGAAAATAAGTGAAATTCTGTTTATATATTTGCAGGCAAGGACGTTTTCCTGTGTATAGGTCTGTAGGGAAGGCCCCAGCTAAACCTGGGGTTTGCCGGGATAATGTTAACTATAGAAATGATTAAATGTGCATGTCACGTTGACCCAAGTTGATGATCTCAATTCTCAAGGAGCTCCTAGCCCTTCTTCGTGGTTTTGATCAGAACCTGAAGGTTTGCTAATTAGATACGAAGTATATTTAATTTTTTGGTCTATTGAAATTCTCTTCTTTTTTCTTCTATGCAAATGTATATTCTTGTAGCCACATATGTGACACATATGTATTTCATATTTTCATGTAGTTGCGGATAAACTCTACAAAATCTATGAATGGTCATCTTCTGTGAGCAGCTGGTGATGTAGAGGCTGTAGAACTGTTCTGGTTCCTATATAATTATTGTTACTGTAATAATTCTTTAAATTTTCCATCATTTGCAATGGAGCCAAAGATTCATTATTTTTTGGCTTGAGATTATGATGGAATAAAGCAAAATGGCTCACTAAACTGTCTGCGCTTCTTTGTTATGGAGCAGCAGTCAGCCCATGCAATTTTGAACGCGGTTTTCACTATGGGTCATCCGGAAACAGTCTCTCTGTGCTTTAGTACAGGGGTAAGACTGCGTACATCCGACCCCCCCTTACCCCACTGTAGGTGGGAGCCTTTGCGGCACTGGGGTAAATGAAAAATGAAAAAATGAAATAATTCTTTAAATGTTCCTATATAATTGCTGTTACTGTAGTGGAAATAATTCTTATATCCACTGTCCGTTTATGCACTCTATCGTCCATAATCTATGTAGTTTCTTGTAAATTTGTCATCAATGCAATGAGAAAACATTCTTCCCTGTTGTGCACAATACAATTTTCACCAGGCTACTTGGCACTTACAAGCTTTCTAGGTGTGCAAGGATCTACTACACTTTTAACAGTGCAAGGTTCTACTACACTCCTAAGAGTGCAATTAAAAGCGTCTTGCAACAAAACAGGACACAACAGTTCCTTGTAGGCTCTGAAAAGGAGCAACTGGATATTTAGGTAGCTTTGTCTAATTCGTTTGGATTTGGTGGTCAAAACTATCCATCTTGTTTGCACCATACAAGTAGTAAACAATTGTTTTTAGGAAGATTGCTTCATCTTCAAAAGCTGAAAAAGATTTGTTGGCATATTTTTTTATTATTACTATAAATCTTATCTCCAGGTTTATGGCTGGAAATCAATTTCTTTTTATTTTGTTTTCAGGTTCATACCGATAAATTGGTTTCAAATTACTGAGTAATTATGGGTACTTTTGTTGCCTTTCAAGAGGAATGCATCTATGCAACATTTTGTGTACAATCTGCTTCACTCTGGATCAAGTTCTTGCTCATATTCAGCCGTTTCTGGTTGCTGCAAAAATGCTTCTGTAAACATTTCTTTTAGCTGTGTTTTCAGATGAATGTCTTCCTATGTTTTAGATGTTTAGCAATTCTTATGAGTATGGATTTGTATCATCTATGGATGGACTCGGGTCCGGGCCGGGTCCGGGTCGGGCCTAGGCCCGGGCGGGCCGGCGGGTCAGAAATGGTGGACCCGGGACCGGCCCGGGTAACCACCGGGTCCGGGCCGGGCCCATTATATATTTTTTTTTGTTTTCCTCTTCCTAATTAACCCCCCTCCCACTCCCAACCCCCCAAACCACCCAAAATGGCCCAAAATACCCGGCCCAACCCGAAAATTTAAAAAAAATTGAAAAAAAAATAGTTTTTAGCCCGAACCGGGCCCGGGCCCGGCCGGGTCGGGCCTTGTTTTGGGTGACCCGAGCCCGGACCGGAAAACCCACGGGCCGGGCCTACCCGGACCGGTCACTGACCGGGCCACCGGGTCGGGCCGGGCTGGAACAGTACTGGTCACGGGCCGGTTCCGGGTCGGGCCACCCGGCCCGAGTCCATCCATAGTATCATCTAAAGTTCATCTTATATTCATTCATTGAGGCTCAGTATTAAGATTAGGGATGACAATTTTGAGTTTGTGATCGATTCGATGCATACCCTACTGAACCGCTCCAGACAAAAACGGGAAAAACCGCATTGACCTGGTAATGGGTATGGGGCGGATAATGCCTGTTTTATTTTTATGTGTAATGGGACGGTTATGGTTTTATACATGTCCATCCCATTACCCGCTCCATACCCACCTATATATTTTATTTTATCTCTGTATTATTCTTCCCATGCATAAAAAGTAGGGAAAATGGAAACTAATAATCCAACCTTTTAGCGGTCTTCTTACAATAGTTCCACTTTATCGTAATTCGGGCATAATCCAACCTTTACAGTTTACACCCCATCTTCATTCTCTGACCGGTTGATGACATGCTATTCCAGTTTTTTCATTTTCTTTGCAAATCATTCAACCATAAATCCCACCTATCACAAATCTTCTTCAAATTGTCCCACATATCATTTTTCTTTTTTCTCCCTAAAAATTTTTCCTTTTTATTTTTATCGTCTTGACTATTTTATTCCCCCTTTTGGTCTTCTTATTTTTATTTTTTTTCTGTTTTTTTTCAATATTTATGTATTCCATTTTTTCTTCTCTTTCTTCTTCCCGTTTATTATTTCATTTTCATTTTTATATATTTTTTCGGTCCCACATGTTGCGGTGAGAAAAAGATCTTTTACAAAATGTCCCCAATATTTGTCTCTTTTATAAAAAATTCAAAGAAAAAATATAAACATGTAGCCCGAAAAAAATAAAATAAAAACAGACTACAACGAATATGAATACATAAAAAAGAAAGAAAAATTTTAGGAAGAAAAAATAAAAAACATATGTGGGACTGTTTCGAGAAGATTTGTAGAAGGTGAGATTTATGGTTGAATGATTTGCAAAGAAAATGAAATAGCAGGTCATCAACCGGTCAAGGATCAACGAATGAAGATGGGGTGCAAAGGTTGGATTATTTCTGAATTAAGATATAGTGAGATTATTGTAAGAAGACCACTAAAATGTTGAATTATTGATTTCCATTTTTTATGATACTTTCCCCTCCCCATGGATGTACTTACTACAACCTATGAATATTGAATGTTGATAATAGATTATAGAGTCTCGTCATTCTCGTGTAATGGTCTGAATCTTTCTTGTTTAAATATTTTTAAAGTATTTTCAGGTTTAAATTAATTTGGATTCTCTTCTTACTCACTTTGTTCATGCACAAGACTTTTAAGTGGCTTCTCACCTTTAGAATCGTTGAGACAATGCTATTATTGTTGTAGGGAAGTGAGAGAGGTGTTCATTCCATTAGTAAACCCCCTTTAAATAGGAGGGATTAGGCCATTAGGGTTTTACAAGGAATGAGCCAATGGGTCAATTAGCTCAATACATATAATCCCTAGATACACTTTCTATCTATAACGAATGCACATTAAAGTAATTTCCTTCAACACTCCCGCTTGTGCGGAGTTGTAGATAAAATGATGGTATCAGTCTTGTTGCCTCATCAAAACTCTGTCAAGTAACAAAAACCCTGTGGGAAAAAAATAATCTTGACTGGAGAAAAAGGAGTATAGCATCAAGATAGGCTTCTTTCATTAAGTCTATCTTTATTTGATCTTTGCTTTGATCATTAAAGTTTATATGTATCGTTACCTCATTAAAAACCTTACCAAGTAACAAAACCCAGTGCGAAAAAATAAAACTTGGGTAAAGGAAAAGAGTGTAACGTAATCTAGTTGGGGTACTCCCCCTCAACTCTGCATCTACCCTTGATATTTACATTAATCAAGGGTGTTTGTAAAATATGTGCATTTCAATACTTGTCACATTAA